TCACCAATATAGGGAGAATTGTGGGAAAACACTGGACTTCGACTTTGATACGGCGATGCTTGCAGATGCTATTAAAAAAAGAAAGTGCCATTAGCATTTATCTCATCCTCAACGAAGTTCACGCGAGCCAATTGCTCGATACATAGTGGCGCTTCCTGTCACATGTTGGCCCTAAGGAGGCCTGGTCTGACATAGAAGCCTCACGGTCATACAGGCGTTCAGAATATGATACTAACCAAACGCAATCTTGGCGCAATTTCTTTTTGAATGGGTTAGGTCCACAGGTTCTTAAGAGGGCAAAACGCCATGCTGTCACCTCAAAGCGATCTACTCCAATCCAGAAGCTGCAGTGTGTTGCGAGGTTGCGCGCTCAAGACTTGGCTAGAACGCCAGCTAGCAGCCACGGTAGTCGTTAGACATGTGACATGTCCGTGACTGATTGCAATGGCCCTACAGGGAAGATTCAACACATGGCATCATTCTGGACAGGTTCAATCCAGACTGATACATCACATCAGGCCCACTGCTACGTACAACTGCCAACACCTCGGTGCCGCAGGTTGCTGATTCAAACGAGCAAGTTTGAAATAGGTCCCGCCAAGGGCAATGTTGCGGAAGGCTTCATCATTAAGCTTGCGGTAGATTGAATTCGTCTTTGCAAGCTCGCTTCCTCAGACAAAGCACCGGCCACTCTCACGCACAAACCAAGACAAGGTATTGTCCGATCCTAGTGAACAACTGAGCACCTGACTGTACCCCGCCTCTGTCTTGGACGCAGCTGCTACATGATCAGAACCACTCAAAAAGCGGGTCGGATAATTGTTGATCAGGGCGATGTATGGCTGCTCTTCTGCATCATCATGATAAATGTTGTCATAAAGTACGTCCCATGATAGGTCTATGAAGAGGTTCGGGTACTTCTCCAATCTGTCCTGGATCACCTTCACATGATTCTGTATGGTGACAGGTAACTGAAGGAGCGCAAGCTTGGGGTTAAGCTGCTTTGAGAGCCCAGCCATGTGTACCCAAATTATCTTGTTGTCTGGATATGTCTCCAGAACTTTGTCCATCAAAGGTAAGAACTGCCGCCCATTCTTCTCGTTTCCCAAGTCCATGTGGATCGCCATGGGGATATCTTGTCTCCGAAGCTCAGCCATAAACTCCGCCCATCGAAGGATTGACTCAATTGGCACCGGTTTGCCTTGAGAATTGTTCCACAAGGCCTGCTTCACCAAGTTGATTTCACCCACCCACGTGAACATTCCTGGAAACTCTCTCTGTAAAAGCGCCATATTGGGCAGAATTGTCTCAGGCTTCTGCAAATCAAAGAAAGACATGGACAGAGTGACTACCGGGCCTGCTTCAAGAAGCTCAGAGCTGTCCAAAACGGTCTGAGCATTGAAGAAGTCATTCTTCAAGCTTGGTTTGACTGGCGTGCCAGGACAGTCCAGGTAATACGTGCAGTTGGAGTCGATGGGCAAGCGCTGCCCAATCCCGTACAGTGTGGTGAAGAGGATCCCAGCCCGCCGCAGCCTGTCCATGAGTTCATGGAACGGCACGGGCGGCCCTCCAAAGGGGCGTGCATGCAAGTGAGCATCGACTACAGCCCACTGATCACTTGTGTTGCGGTCAAAGCATGTAGAAGAGCCCTGCTTGAAGTCATCCACCGTGAGAGACGTTTGAAGGACGGAGAGGTCAGGAAATCTTGAGCTGCCTGCCCTGCCTGCCTTAGAAATGCACAGTGCAAAACAATTATATGATAAAGCGGATGCATGTCGATGCAAATATCAGATCAATCAAAGCACCTTCTGGAGCTGGGAGCTCTTATTTGCTGGCCTTGCCTGCACCGATTTTGGCTCACACCTCACCTCTACCGACTCTACCAAATATCGACCCGATTTCAGTCCATACTGACCACCAACCGTGCATTTCATAGCACAAGCAAAACAAGCGGCCAACTCATCTCCCGGCCTGCGACATTGTTATGAGACTCTGCGGCTTTCGAGGTCGCAAAGCCTCCTGACCACTTCCAAGGACATCACACCTCTGTAGACGTTATCTCTCTCTCTCTTCCATTGTTTCCCACCAAACACGGAGGCATACACTCTCTACACCACTCACGCCAGGCCCACGCAGTCCTTTCCCACCAAACTTGGAGCACAAATGGCTGGAGCTGTGAAATTGAGGCCTGCACCGCCCAGTATCGAACCTCTTGCACAACAGCCAACTCAGCACGGTCCTCGCCCCGCCTATCAAATCAAAATAGTTCTGGCCAAGGGCAATATTCCGGAATGCAGTGTCACTCAAATCCCGGTAGATTGCACTTGTCTTGTTTACTTCATTTCCTTAGTTGCACAGTTTCCGGCCTAGAATGTCGTAGCACTCTTACGCAACAGGCTGAGTCTTTTGTGCAGAACAAGCTGAGTCTTGTTGCTAAGCTGGGCGCTGTAAGTCTCTTCGATCTTGTCTGCCGAGGCCACGTGATCAGAGCCACTGAGAAATCGAGATGGATACTTATTGATCAAATTCACATAGGGCCTCTCCTCTGACTTGGATGAGTAGAGCTCATCATACAGAATGTCCCAAGAGAGGTCAATGCTCAGCTTCGGGTGCTTGTTCAGCCTTTCCTCAATCATGCTGACATGATCCTCGATGGTCACTGGTCTTTGGAGCAGGGCCAGGGATGATGCCAGCTGGGGGTTGAGCTGTTTGGAGAGCCCTGCCATGTGCACCCAAATAATCTTGTTGTCTGGATATGTCTCCAGAACTTTGTCCATGAGCGGGAGGAACTGCTCCCCGTTCTTCTCGTTTCCAAGATCAGAATGTAAGGCCAGCGGCAGGCCTTGTCTGCGGAATTCATCCATAAATGGTTTCCAGTCCTTTATGGACTCTTGTCGGACGGGAAGGCCCTGGGAATTCGGCCAAAGTGCTTGCTTCACCAAATTGATCTCACCAACCCACTTGAACATTCCAGGAAATTCACTCTGCATAAGCTTGATCTTTTCCAAGTTCGCAGTTGGCTCGTGCAAATCGACGAAGGACATCGACAAGGTAATGTGTGGCCCAACCGGGTCAGCCAGGTCAGCGGCATTGTCCAGAACACTCTGCGCATTGAAAAAGTCGTTTTTTAAGCTTGGAGTGATCTTCGTGCCCGGACAATCCAAGTAGTACGTGCATGTTGAATTGATCGGCAGCCTCTGACCGATGCCATACAATGTCGCAAAGAGAATTCCAGCTCTTCGCATCCTCCCTATCAAGTCAGTGAAGGCAACTGGTGGACCACCAAACGGTCTTGGGTGCAAATGGGCATCAACGACCGCCCAGTTGTCGCTGCTTGCTCTGTCGTAACATGCGTTCTGCTTTTGGAAGTCTTCAAGGGTCAGAGGCGCCGCCTGTAGCAACCCAAAGAACATGCAGCTGCTGAAGCAAAAACGAATGCAAAGTCTCAGTTAGATTTGACGGCGTAGTGTCTTCATGAAATCAACTGCTCAAACGTGAAGCGTTGTGATTCTACGTCTCCTTTCCTTTCCGCAAGAAATTATGTGCCTCATTCACCCCAGCTTCAAAGGACTGCCTTGGTCCGTGAGCTCTCTCGGAAGTGGTGTTGCAAACCCCAGTGGATGGTGCATCTGTATCACAGTGTAATTGATGCCATGGGGAGAAAAAGGAAACTCTACCTTGCCCTCGTGTTCCGGGAAGAAACCCAATCCTTGCATTCAGGTCTATGGTGCACGTAGGGCCTTCCATTCTTCAGCAACACTGTGTCATAGGTGTGGTTCATCCCACAAACTGTCCACAAAGCAACTCTAGTTTCAGTGCACACGAACGCATCTTGATGATTCAGCCAGGGAGAACGCGAAGAAAGCACAACGGAAGTGACAGACATCCTGGCTATTTATCAAATTATATAGGATGTTGTTTTGATGCAAATATGCCATCACATCCCCTAGAGGAAACAAAAGCTCATGGAGCAACAAATAGGTACTGTACAAGAGTGTGAACCATAGATCTGCATGTGCTGGAAATGGCACCATCGCATGTTCAGCTCGTCTTCGCGTGATTGCTTTTGGCTAGTACATTTGGAATTGAATATATGCAATGCCTGGAAAAAGTGATGAAAACAAGACAAAACTGCAGCCAATGTTCTGCTGTCTTTGCAGCTGCAATAGTTGTGGGCTGTCATCTTCACAGCCCTGCAGTCATTGCAGAGCGATCGCAGAAAAGTTTAAGGATATGATATGCACAACAGATTCTAACAAATTCTATGCAACATCTATATAATTATATACTTTGAACTGCTTCAGCAGGAGATCAGCAACGAAAGCTCAACAACACAGCACAATGAGTGCTACAAACTGAGTGGACCTCACATGATTTGCAATGTTACACTGTGAGCCAGCAACGAACACAAACAGTTCCATCCTCTGATGTGGAACACGTAGCGCCTGCCAGAAAAGCACATCACGGAACAGGTTGCTTTGGCACATGCAAATCTACCCTCTGAATATGCCGTATGCTGTATGCTTCTGCCTGTGACAACGGAGAGCAGAAAGGCAAAAACTAAGCGTCTGTGGCTTCCCTGCATGGTCCTCAGTGCTTGTGACTGATTCCTTGCGCAAGGCGCAAAAACGAAGCGCCACCAAAGCACAGGAGCAAAACAGACAGAGGCTCAACAAGCCCCAGACGCTGCATTGCCACGAGGGTATCAAAAGTGAAAAGCGGTTCAGATCTTGGGGCCAAGTGGTTTGAGCCGAAACAAATAGCAAAGGAAGCTTCTAGTAGGGAGGAGGGGGAGCGGGCAAACAAAAAAGACAATGCTTTTTTGGGGTTACTACAGGTGAAACGATTCCCAAGGAAGCTTCTAGATTCTAATGATTCTAGTTATACACTGAGAAACTGAGAACTGCCAGACTGCGACTTTTGCAAAGCTGTGATCTCTTGATTCCGACTGGCCGAACTGCAGGCCCCTTGGGCCTCGCGCTCGGCCACCCCATTTTGTGTCATCGCCGTGTCGAGTCAGAGCCCCGCATTGCTTGATGCAGCAAATCAAAGAGCAAACGACCTGGAAGTTGAGTCGTCATGTTGAATGTACCTATATGTACAATTTAGTCATCTAGCCCCTGGATATCCTAGGTCCTAGCTGCTATTACAAGTGGTGACTTATTATATATAGTCGCCATAGTCATGTGATTTGCTTGTCTTTCTCGTCACTTTCTTCAACTTTGCACATTGGAAATGCTTTGCCTCCCCAGCTTTCCCAGCCTCGGCTTTCTGACCCACACAGCTGGACGCAATGCCCCTCGCTGAGGCGCACCAGCATTTGACCAGTGAATTCTGCAGGCAGGGTGGAGCACACGTCCTTGGTGCACAGCTGGGCGAATCGGATGCATGATCCTCTTACGATCTCATCTTGAAGAGAAACATGAAGAAACTGGAACAGAATTATTGGATCGGATTGTCGGAATTCTTGGACTTTGATCAAGCGACGGCAAAAAGACCATCTTCCAGCTGCCTGAGCCAAGCTTGAACTTGTTGCGGTGACCACTGGCGAGGATGCGGATCTCGCTGCTTGGTGATATTTGGCAGCACTTCCTTTTCCACATCTTGTTCAGGTGCCTTGACTCGCAAGGTCATTCCGGTTCGAAGGGTCGAAAGAGTATGCTCCGTATCAGATGCAGCCGGTGCAACGGTGCAAATGACTGAGAGCCTGGTGTCTGCAGAAGACAGGGACGTGGCCAGTAGCTTGGTGAGCGCCGATGCCCGAAAGGCATGCGAAGGAATTCGATGGCCCTTAGACATGAAACGAATGCACTCCTTGAGGGCATGCAGTGATGCATTGATCTCAGCCCCTTCTTGCTGCCTCTCTCGGGTATGATTCGCTGAATCCTTTCTCCGCTCTGTACCAGCACAATCCACTAATGTCAAAGAACCACCGCACCCACCGCTGCGCCCGGTCGCAAAGCTTTGAGAGCAAGATCTGCCCAGACGCAGAGTGCAAATTGCATGACTGCGGGAGCTCTCATCATTGGCCTCCGTCGCGCTCGTGGCTCTCCGATGTCGCGCCGCTTGGAATATGGCCAGCAATGCCTCGGGGCTTTCGACCTGTAGCTCATGCGCTCCATCTGGGACAAAGGCTGAGCTCTCCTCTTTCCTGTCACCCTTTTTTTGCTCCCGCAGCCGCACCTCTGGGAGGTGCGGCAGCAGCAGGTCAAAGCAGCGTGAACCTCGAAGCTCTACAAATGTCAAGGACATTTGACATCCACTTTGGAACAGGTCTTTTGCGCAAAGGTGTTCGATCGCCTTCATCGTGTGAGTCTTCCCACTGCCAGTCTGCCCAAACATCAAGATGGTGTTCGCACGGCCTTCCTTCGTGGATTCAACCAAGTTTGATGCCGAGGCCCTGTACACTTCCTCGTCACTGACTTCGTCGCCAAAAACATGATCAAAGGCAAAACGCACATGGTGAACGACTGGCGTGCGAAGATCTGCTTGGAAAAGGCAATTATGCAGAACCATCTGCGTAGGTGGACTACCTGAGAGAATCGAGACAACGTCAAAATCGTTTCGCTTCGCCTCCTCATGTGGGAAAAGGGGCCGCTTGCGGACATAGACCTGGACAGGCCGGCATCCTGAATGAAATTTGTCACCTGGAGAGGCAGTGGGAATGCCTGCAAGCGCTTCAACAATCTTTGCCTGATACTTCTCGATTGCATTCAGGAAGGGCGCCCGATTAGCAGCTCGCAGCTCATTCTTGCTGAACATTTGCCTCCGAAACTCGGACGTTTCGCTTCGCCGCCTTCGTTTCAGCCCAACAGGCTGCATTAACTGAGCAAGCAGGACGGCAACCCGTAGGTAGTAGGGACCCTATGGGTGTTAATTTTGAGCGTCGTTCCACATCTATAGAGAACTTTTTCTCATGGGCTCCTCTTTCGCATGTTCCTTCGCAGGACTTTCACGGCTTGCGTTTTGGCTTTCGTGCACGGCATTCAGTTCAAAAAAACACTTTCGCAAGCTTGCTGATTCTGGGGGGGGTCCAAAGAGGGAGGCATCATACATTATATAACCGTTAACCTCTCTTCAAGTTGTTGCTTATGGGGCCAGCAACACCCCAAGCTCCACCATCTAGATGACCCCTACATGAAACATCATCAAACCAGCTACATACTGCCCAAAGAAGGGGAGATTGGTGAATTGCAGTGATGCCGCCTGCCTGCTGGCTGCTCCCAGCGACGCTGCACGAGGGCCGCTAGAAGTGCGGTTCATGCATGGCCTTTCAGACATGCTCCGCGGCTCCCGTCGTGGTGGGCTCCGTACCCTGCGAGCAGGACAACAAAAAGAAACTGAATCCCCGCAAACCTTGCAGTGTGACCTATGCATCACATTGCAGGCCACCTGGGCTGAGCTTCAGTTGCGTCTCGACTTCTCTGGGCCTTCCGCACCTCCTGACACGCTATTGCAAGATTTCTACATTGCGGAGCCGTCTTCTATGATTCTTCTCGGATCTTCATGAGTCTTCGTGCAGCTCTTTCGCTGCATTACATTACAGCTTCAAAGGTGCCGAATTCCTGTCCTCTCGAGCCTCCAATCGCTGACGCAAAGCAGCTGGAAGCTGTGCACTCGGAGTGGGGGCGTCCACATTCGGTTGAGGCCCTGCTCCGAAGGAATCTTGCCTCCAAGCATTCTTTTCGCGATTTGAACCCATACGCACCAATGGACGTGAGGCAAAATATTGATTGCAGTGCGATCCGTCAAAGGTTGTGGAACAGCAGCTAGGAAAGGTGATATGATGTGTTTTTTTGGCGGCCCATGCCAAATGCCTGTGAACGTGGCTCACCCATTAGTAATTAGGTGTCAGGTGGCACTGGATCTCACTTGTGAATGGAACATAATGGAACAGGCTACGAGGCCGGCACTAGAGCTTCATATTAAGAGCATTAGTGCTGTGCGGTGGTCTCTGGCAAGTCCTTTCTCTTTCTTGTTCTCTCGCCTATCCTATCTTCTCCCTCCCTTCTTTCTATTTGCCTATAATAGCCTATAACCTGTCAATGTGAAGCTGTTCCCTGCTGCTCCAGGTTCTTGTGTTTCTATTGCGCAAGGCAAAAATGGCAAAACCCTCTAGCTCTAGCTCACGATGCAGTGCTACTCAACTGATGATAATATCATCATGAACGTGAAATACAGTAATTATAATAGCCGAACATGCACCCATGCCGTACCGCTGAAGCTGACACGCAACCAAAGCATCAATAACAAATAAGAATACAATTCTGCAGCTGCATGTCAAATTAAGTTGTCATGCAGCACACCAACTCAGAACGAAACGTGAATGAATCTCCTCTGAAATTTCAAAGGCCTTACCTCTTCATGAGCAAGGGTGTAGTTTCATCTTGATGCAATACTCTTGGCACTTCCGGGTTTTGAAGTTCTGGAAGTTCAGGAAGCAAAGTCACATCGAAATCAAGGGATGAATCGCTGAGATCCTCTGCTCTCAACGCCTCGGGCGACTCTTGCTCCAGCTGCGCTGAGCAAGGTTGGACCGCTGAGACTGCCTGCGGACACTCAGTCCATGGGTTTGAAATAGCGCCTTGGCCGGAGGACGTTTTTGCGTCAGTCGGACCGTGGTCTGACGTGACGCGGACGCTGGGCGTCTGTTTGTACAAGGGCGGTCTGGTGAAATGAGGTCCGCCGGCCCGTGCTTTTGATCCCAAAGTGACAACAGAGTCACCCGGACTCAGCTGTTCAGCACCGAAGCGCTTGTCGTAAGGTGGCGGAGCTCCGGACGTCCTTGCTGCGCTTGGATCTTTCTCCTCGGGCCGATGAGCTCCTCGGTGGTCATCCACAACATCAGTTAATCTCTCCAGTGGCGGTTCCTCCACTGCCTTCTGCATCTCTGTCCTGAGTAGCATGCTCGACCGTCGACAATCACCTCTTTGGGTTTGCGGCCCTTGGTTTTGGCCAAGCATCATTTGCCGTAGGACCCCTGCTGTGCAGCCCTGAAGCTGTAACAAGCTGCTGGAGGCAGACCATTCGCTCACAAACGTCCACAGTAGAGTTCCACTGTTCAGTCTGGCAGCTGGCCCATGTTTTGCACTGTGTTTTGCACTCCAAGTGCAGCTGAGGCACATTGCGCCCAGGAAGGTCATGTCTGTCCACATTGCAAGGATGCCTGGACCTCAGATGTTGCCAAGTGCAGCTCATCAGGGTCAGGTGAACTAGCTAAATAAAACCCATGCCTTTGTAGCCAGGTAGCTCCTTCAGAGTTGGCGACACGTCTTGCAGAAGTGGAGCGGCTTCACTGCGTTCATTTGATCTCAAAGGTGAATGGGAAGGAGAACCTTGGCTGGAAAGAAGCTACTAGGAGCAAAGGGTGAGCTACTAGGAGCAAGGACGCTACTAGG